GAGAACTTATTGAAGATCTCTTATGGAAGGTCTCTTCCAAAAGATCCTAAGATAAGTCAGGAAAACAGTCCTTATATTCATCTGGTGTTTTACAACTCAGAAAATGCTTAGACACCTGCTTTGTCTCATTTAAGCATCAAAACAACCCTGTGATTATTCTTATTTTACAGATGATAAAATTGAGGTTCAGGTGGAGGTTAAGCAACTTAGTTAGGGTCACACGTTTAGGAAGTGGGAGGTCTTAGGACCCCCGGGTCAGGATATCTTTGCTCTCAGGACAGGGCAGACAGGAGGCAGGCCCGTCTCTGTGTGGCTGAAGCATTGTCAGGCGGGCGGCTACACTGCTGGGCGCGGAGAAGTGACCGCTCCCGTCTTTTTCTTTCTCCTACGCCCTAAGGCTGGTCCTCGGCAAGGCTGTCTGTCCTCAGGGACCCCTGTGTATTCTTTCTTAGTTGCTGCAGGTGAGAGCTGACCAGCCTCCCCAAAAGTGAAATGTGTGAAGCCTGCAGTTTACATTTACTTGGTGTTTCAACCCATGCCCTGACTACACCCTCTTTAAAAGGACCATGGCAGAAACACCCGAAAGCAGGGGGCTGACAGGTGGGTCTCACCCTACAGTGTCAGTGAGGGAGAAGGGGACACTTCTGCTCAGTGGGGTGGTTCCAGTCCTGCCACACAGGCTGCTCCACCTAGTCTGAATTGTGTGAGAACACAAAAGAAAATGTCACTGCTTGGTGGGGAAAGAATGTCGGTGGAGGGGACAGGATGTCCCGTTTCAATTCCCTCTCAGCCCCCAGGCTCTGACATAGATGGGAGGACAGAGTCCCTTGTGTGAGGGCCTGGGAACTGAGCTTTCGTCCACGTAGCTCTTCCAATCAGATTCTGCCCTTTCCTGGTAATTCAATGTGAAATGAATCCACCCAGGAGTCTGGACTGGCCCCTGAAAGGAAGGCAAATATAACAAAGAAAAAATCATTGCCAATTGCAGGGACCATGTGTTCACAGGAACAAACAGGAATACAGCTGAGTGGGAAAATGGGCGTATCACCACACCTTACATCTGATCAGGCAGGAGCTGGGCCAGAAATGAGTTTTGTATCTTTTTTCATCTGGTCAGCCAGAAGGGGTCTATGAAAGGGAATAAAGTATATATACAGATAGCTTCTCTAAGCTTTTACAAAGCCATCCCGTCTTGCTACTCCTAATGCAATGGGAGGTAGTTACATTTTCATTGACTCTGGAAGGTGTTTCTCTCTCTGCTTGACTGTATCTGACCACACCAGGATGAGCCTTAGGTTTGCTGCCAGTATGTTTTCTAACTCTGAGGGCCCGAGGAAACTGATGTTTGAAGGGAGGTCAGTGGCTTGCCCAGGGTTGCACGGCTTGGAAATGTGAGGTCAGGACTGTCCCTCAGTCAGTCTCCCTGCTCCCCGTCAGGTGCGTCCCACACACCCGGACAAGACCTGGCCGGGCATGAGAGGCACCAGGCACCCGCTGCGCAGCAAGGTGATGTGCGAGTCCTGAGTTCCCCACAATTTTCACCCCGAGGGCTTTCTCCCATTGGAAGTCTGCTGGGAGGTATCCGCCGTCTAAAAGGAGAGATGCTGAGGCATACAAAGAGAAGTGCATGTTTTCTGTTCTCTCACCAAAGCTTTTCAGATGCAGGAGCTTTAAATGCTGAGCCTTCAAGGAGTTCGGGTACTAAGATGATGCCAGAAGCAATTGACTAGGAAGAGTAAATGAAGTTGCAAGAGCTGGTTCTTCTCATTCTAGACAGCGGGAGAGAAGAGAGACCTAGGGACCATGAGAGTTTGGCTGTTGGTAAATGTCACTGAGAAAGGGGACTGTACCTCATTCCTGGCACAGACTTTTCACAGCAGCGCCCCAGGGGTATGTGGGAATTGCTGCGAAGATTCACTCCAGCCTCAGGGAGCCCTTGCTGGTGGGGCTAGGGCAGAGAAGGTCTTCATGGACTAATGATGGAGAGCGTCTCAGAGGCGCAACAGAGTGGGTGGTGACAGAAACTAGGTGGCCCCTGGGATCATGACTGTCACAAACCCTGGGAGTGATGGAGATCAGTTGTCATCTAGGCCATATATAGTTGCTGTTTTTATAGCTTAGAAATGATCATATAGCAGCGATTTCATATTGCTCTGTGTGACATCATGGAAAAGCCTAAACTGCCTAAGATTTTGTTTCTACCATCCAGTAGAATAAGGGTTTGAAGTGGAACCAAATTCAGTCCTAGTCAAAGACAGACTTCTCACCCATCTGCGTGGAGGCTGTGTGTGGCACTCACCACTCTGAGTTGCCTTGACGCCGCCTCACCAACAAGCAGTTCTTGAAATGCCTGATGGTTCAGATCTTCCCAGGAGGAGCCTGGGATGTCTTCATAACGTGTGACTCTAGTTCGAATAGATTCCCCTCCACCTCCTGCCGTTTAAGACTTACACATAGTTTCTGGTATTCGGAGGGAACACGCTTGGGAGCTGGGAAAACTTGTTCTTTCCCCACAATTCAATCCAGTTTTCAGTCTTATCTATGTCATATGCCCCTGAGCACAGGATGAGAGGAATGTAGGTAGTTTCAGAATACACGCAGGAGTCTACAAATCATTGCGTTTACTTTTTAAATGGGTTGGGATTTGCTTCGGGCTTCTCACTAGAGTAAGGCAAACTGGACGGGGAAGCTTGGTTCCTCCTGGCTGAGGAAATTGCTGGTCAAATCACCAGCACTTGGTCTTCCTGCCATGATACAGGAGCCTGGGAAGGACAGAGGAAGTGGCTGCCAGGGAGGTCAGAAGGCACTGCTCCTCCAGAAGAGCCATGTCTAGGCATAGCATGGTGACTTGTATCCCTGTGGTTCTCAAATTGTGTGCTGAGGCTCTCTGAGGTGCCTCAGTGAACACACAGGAACACTGCCAGATAGTTGAGATTTTTGAAGGAAGCTCACTGACATCTGGCAGATACTGTGCAAAACCACAAGACTAGTGGCTTTGCACAGTATCTGAGTTTCAGACGGTTGCTATGATTTAAAAAAAAATCTATGCAAAATAGAAAATGACGATGGCGATATCCAATCTGAGTCCAAGTTCTGAGTGATTGTCCAGGGCTCAACAGGCACATACGCCCCATTATTCACAAATTGTGATCATTTAAAAATAAAGTGAATGTATTTTTATTTCAATCTGTGTTATTTTTTCCTGAAATGGTGACTATGTTTTCAGGAATAAGTACTTGTTAAATTTTTTTTGGACCTAATTCATAAACGAATTTTCTGGGGTATTTCTTTTGACCTGTAGGTGCCGTGAAAAAATTATTGAGATACTAGGGGAGCTGTGAACTGAAAAAACTTGGGAATCACTGCTGTAGAAGATGGTAGAGCAGCAAAAACAAGCTAAAACAAACCTGGGTTCCTGTATTGACCTCCCCAAACTGCCCAAGACCTCTGGACCATGGGGTGGAACAAACAAACTTCTAATTTGCGTGAGCCACGGCACTTAGGGTTCTTTGTTACAGCAGGTTAGCTTTGTCCATAACGATACAGCAGGGCTCAGTAAGTGCTTGTTGGTGAATAGGCTTGGCGTTGATTTCTTTCATTGTTACAGATTTTGGATTTGCTTCTGGAGCAGTAATAAGGGGTGGGTTATAAAAACAAAAAAAGCGTAGCAACACTGGGTACTTACTGGGGTTTGACTTGGGGAAAGTTACCACAGTGTCGGGGTCCTGGTCTGTAAAATGGAAATCATGCCTTATAGTGGTAGAAACTGCGTAAGATAATAACCATGAAAATATTTTGAAAAATGTTGTGCAGATGTAAGTAGTCTTTCATGCTGAAACATTGATGAAGATGCAAGGGACCATCTTAAAAGGGGCTTGTTGGTAGGAAGGAAAACTTGAGTTAGCGTAAGGTCTGAATAATCGGGTTTCTTCTTCCTTTCTTAAAAAAATCAAACTGAATTGTTCACAAGCAGATTAGAAATACATTTTAAGGCTGCCACTTAGAGGCTAAATGTTAACAGCTAAAGAAAGGCTAGGCACAGTGGCTTATGCCTGTAATCCTGGGACTTTGGGAGGCTGTGGTGGAAGGACAACTTGAGACCAGAAGTTTGGGACCAGCTGGGGCAACATAATGAGCCCCTGCCTATACAAAAATTAAAAATTAAAAAAAATTGCCAGGCATCGTGGCATGTACCTGTAATCCTGACTATTTGGGAGGCTGAGACCGGAGGATTGCTGGAGCCCAAGATTTGGAGGCTGCAGTGAGCCATGATCCTGCCACCGCACTCCAGCCTGGGTGACAGAGCCAGACCCTGTATGTAAAAAAAAAAAAAAAAAAAAAAAAAGAGAGAGACAGAAAGCCAAAATTTTAGCCCCAGTAGCTCATCTACTTAGGTGGTTTGACTCAATAAATTCATCAGGGTCCCCAAACAGTTAATTAAGTAATTAAACAATCTTTCATTGTATTGATACCTTTTATTTATTCAAATCTTTCTTTTTCTTTGTCAATATTACTGTTAAACTCCATTCCTTCCCCATTGTGAGTTCTTGTAATATCAAATTGGCAGGATCTGAATTCATAACTGTTTTGGATAACTATCAAACTTAAAAAGGAACCTAGTAAAGAACAACCTGAGAGGTGGCCGTAGAGGGGACAGGAGCCCTGGGCCACAGTGATCACTCGGAGGCTGCCTGGCCTCCACCTCATGCTGGGACTGCCCCCGCTTGAGGGATCTTCCATTGTGTGGGGCTTGTTGGGGTGGGAACACAGCCAGGGAAGAAGACTCTACCTCTTGGGCTCAACTTTCCCTGAAGACTCTGAATCCTGTAAACACGGGCAAGCAGTGACCGAGGCACATCTCAGACCGAGGAGAATCTCAGATCAGGCAGTTCCTGCAGCATGGCCCTCTTCAGGACCTCCTTGGTTCTGGGACCCTTCCCCCAGCCTAACACCAAGTTAGGAAGCCCCAGATAGCCTCCAGTTACTCTTCTTTTCATTCAGGAGAGCCAGAATTGGCTTTTATTTGTGAGTAGATAGCCTGGCTAATACGGTGTCCTTTTCCAAATGGTTTTTCACCTACAAACAATTTTTTTGTGCTAATTTATAATGTTGCTGAGGTGAAGTGTCTAACAAGAAGGAAATTAGAGGGATTTTAGCAACAAAAACACTCATTCGTGTCTTGATCTAGAATTCCTGAGATGTAAGATGGATCTGGAAAGTCTGTGTTCTCTTAAAGTGCAGCCATGCTTTCGAAATTGATGTGTTATGCCTTTTTCATATTCTTTATCTGCATGCAGCTGTAAAAATTATAAAGGAAAGTTTCTGTCCCCAAAGCATAATTCCTCTATGGAAAGTGTTTTTTTTTTTTTTTTTTTTTTTTTAAAGTCACAATCATGTTTCTGAGAATGTTTACCTGACTTTACTAAAACATCATATAATTCAACCTCATGGACATTCTTTATTCTGACACTTAGAACTCTAGAATACCATCCATCTTGGGAGAAAAAGCACAAAGAGAATGTTTCCTTAATAAATATGCTTAATGTTCAACTCAAGTGTGTCTGTGGCAGAGAAGAGGGACAATGGATTTTTCATTCTTCCACAATGAAATTTGCACAGAGCTAAATTATTCTACCTTAAATAAACTTTATCATCTAAAAACATTAAGATCTGGGGCCTTCAGAGGCTGACATTCTTGACCTTGGATACAAACCCAAAGAAAGTGATTGCCACACCACTGACTGTATTTTGGCTGTAATATTCAGTCTGAAGAAGAGACTAATTATGAATGCAACTCTGCCTTTTCGTGTGTAAAACTATTTAGCTTACCATCTTAATTTTTGATTCAGCTCTATCTGTGCTAACCACCTAGTTTAATCAATTCTCTCAAGTGATTTTCTTCTCCCCACCATCATCTTGGTCCCGGCTGCCTCATCGCCCGCTCATAGTGACATGACAGCTTTTGATCTGATTCCGTTACCCTCTTCTCACACCCACTCATCTTCTCCAATTCATTTTCAATAGCTACAGAGATCTGTTAAAACCCAAATCTGGTCACTTTATCCTCTGCCAAAGATTAGTGTCTTCCCATTGTTCTTAGGATGAAAACCAAAATTATTAATACACTAAGGACAGGATTATCACTTTATTTTTAACATTTTTTAAAAAAACGCTGAAAGGTTTGTCGTATAATTGGTATCTACCATATCATAGACTCAGTTATTTCAAACAAATTAACCAGAGATGGATTTTGAAACTTGTAACTTCCCACAGCTCCATCTTTCTTAACTCTATCAGTAAATAATTGGTCAAATTTCATGCTTTTGATGGAGAAAAACTGACATTGCAAAGCAACAGAAACATCTGGTTTGATGGGAAGAAGATGTCAAAACTAAGCAAAAGTTGACAAAAATTCAAGCCAAGAAACTATGGAGAAAACAGCCAAACCCATCCATCAGGAAGGGACCCGGTTAGTGCCCATAGCCAGAGTGAACGTGCAATCCCAAAAGTTGAAAAATGTGTGGGCAAAATGTAACTTTGACCAAGAGTCATGTTCTTTTTTTTAAAGAAAAGAGGTATGTGTTTGTCAGTGGGAATAAAAATAAAATGATATGCTTTGGGAATGTAATTGCTCCGGCTGCAATATCCTCCTCAGTGGGCAATTGGCCATCCATTAGAAAGGACGTGGTGCCAGAGGGAGCTCTTTAATACCACATCTTTAGTGTAATAGCCCTATTAACTTTGGCTTCAAATGGATTGGCTCTGGGGTTCTCTTCCACCAGAGCCCTTGCCTACAGAAAAGGACTTATGCAAAACTGGGTTTATTTTTTATCACCCTAGAGGGAAGTGCGGTGTCAAATGTATAAAGATCCACTGCTTTCTCTAGGTTGAGGTTCAGAACTGTAAAATGGCATGGTTGGACTTGCAAGATCTTTGATCTGTGCTGGGATGCATTCTTTGTAGAGGTAATGGCAGTATCTTCATTCTCTGGAGAAAATATCTGGAGACTGTTACATATTAGGCAGGTCCCAGAAGCCACACTGTGCCCTGTGTTATCTCATTAAAAGTTCACAACATAGCCACAGTTGTTCCCATTTTACAGACGAAAAGATGCAGTCCCAGAGAGACAGAAGAGACATCTCTGTCCTCTCCATGCTCAGATGTGCATCCTTCCCACTTTTTCTGGGGCCAGCATCCTGGCTTTCTGTGAGGGACGTGCTTTCTCCCCCCGTGTTGGGAAGATGCTGGGAGGCTACCGCTTACCTTCTCTGCCCCAGCCAGTCGTATCCTCTTCCCAAAGAACCCAAATCTTGATTAAGAAACAAGCAGATAGAAAATGTTTGGAAAAGATTCATCTCTCCCTCAAAATATCTTCTTCCACGATCCCCCTTCTTCCCTCTCTGAGTTCTGGTTCTTCAGTATCTTCCTTTCTGGCTTAGGTTGCCCAGAGCGGATTTCTATTGCTTGCAGTTAGATAACTGTGGCTGAAATGAGAGGGTGAGTAGCTATCCTGTTCACACACATTTCCACTGCCACTTCCCTCACCCTTTCGGCCACATCTCCCTGCTGCCTGCGGCTGTGACTGCTGGGCACTGGGTGCTTGACGCACCCGGGTCTGGACCCTCCTTCCCACACTAGGGACGTGGAGGAGGTGGTCATGCTGTGCTCTCTGGGCACAAGCAGCCCCAACCCAAGGCTTCAGGTTGCTGTTTCTCAGCGCAGCTGGACTGCCCCCAAGCCCAGCTTCCATCTCAGCATGGTTCAAATGTGGCCAGATGGTCTGCGGGCCTCCAAGTGTCCATTCCCTGACTTGTTTTGGTTGTCTGAAGCGCCACCCTGAGGGTCACTAGCTATGGAACTATTTCTAGGAAGTTCTTGTTGAATGTCATTAAGCTCGGAGTTGGTTAACCTAGCATGATAGTAGGTGTGTAGTTAGTGTCTACTGATTATCTAACGCTTGCAATTATATACATATATATATACACACACACATATATATACACCTATATATATACACATATACACACACATTTTAAATGTATGGTAGAACACTGTGGGAGACGCAGAAGAGATTGTGGTCCGTCGAAAACAGGCATGTCGATGGATTTGAAGATCATCTTGCAAAACCTTTGTGTCTCCCCAGAAGAGCCTCCTGGTCTATGGGTGGGGATCCACTGCATTAATCTGTGCAGCATTCATTATCATATAGGAAGGATTCATTTGACAGACAACAGAGGCTGGACAATCACACCCAAACAGACACGTTGTGTTGAAGCCTCCTCTGCTTGAAGCAGACCCACAGAGGACGGCCCCACAGGGACCTCAGTGTGGATTCTGCAGGTACCTTTGAGAGGGCATTTAACTTGCAGGAGGCCTTTGAAGACTAATTTTGCTGCCTCGTGGATTTGGGTTTATTTGTTTGAGCCAACATTTTTTGAGAATGAGCAGTGGAAATGTAAGAAAGGCAAGTCCTGATTTTAGGAACACCAGTTTTCTTGCAAAACCTGCCTGGTGCTTGAAAACTGAGGCCCATGGCTAGGGTTTGGCAACCATGCAGTGCGTGTTTTATTTTCCAGCTGAGCCTAGGGTGTAGCTGTCGTAGGAGGGACTTGTGTGGACATAGCTCGGGGCAGCCTGGGGAGCAGTCTGCAAGGAGAAAAGGGATGTTTGTTCAGGATTGTTTGGGGACAGAGGCTGGAGGGGGGAAGCTCCAAAGTGGAAGAAAGGAAGATACAGAAAGAGATAACCGGGGGGTCTGATTCCAGCCCAGTCCCAGGGACTAATAATGAAAACTCCCACTTATTGGTCATTTGGTCAGGGCCAGGCAGTGTGCATCCTCTTACTAGGTCCTCCCAGCAACTCTGTTGCAGGGACTTTTACCATCCTTCCCATTTTAGAGAAGAAGAAACTGAGGCTTGGATGGTAATTTTCCCAAGTCACAAAACCAGATCTGTTGTTCTTTGAAAGCTGGCTTAAAGTCCCTCCAGGGCTAACCTTTAGTGGCATGTTTTCATATCTGTGGGCACACGACGTCGCTCCAGTGAGTGAAGCCTGAAGGGAGCACTTCTTTTTGGCACTTCAACATTATCAGCTTTGGGAGTTGAGTGAATTAACCAAGCTCAAGGGTGGGACATTACTATCCTTGAGGAACTAAAGTGCACACCAGCTATGGAAACTTGAGACTCTGTCTCTTCATCTGTAAAATGGGAAGACAATGCCTCCTCTATCAGGACTGACAGAAGACACAGAGTAACGTAGCCTGACAGAAGTATATTTCCCTCTCACGCAAACAGTCTCTGGAAATTGCAGTCCAGAGTTTGCATGGCGGCTCCATGGTCATCAGGTACCCAGGATTCCGACATTTTTGTTCTGCTATTGTCAACACATTTCTTCCACCTCATAGTTCTAAATAGCTGCCCTAGCTCCAGCCACTGCTTTTGCTTTCATTCATCTGAAAGGTGAAAGGGACAAAGAAAGCCACATGTCCTTTTGAGGTCACTCCCTTCTTGGGACCCTTCAGTCACGTGGGTCAAATTCAGTGTCACATGCCAAACCTAGCCATCAAGGAAGCTGTGAATTTTTTTTTTTTCTGGGAGACCACAAGTCTAGCTAAAAGCCAGGAGTTCCATTGCTAAAAAAGAAAGGAAAAATGGCTACTGAGGCTGCTGGGAAGCCGGAATGAGTTAAACTAAGTAAGTTATCTACAGGGGGCTTTCCTGGCACTTTGTGTACACTAGGTAAACTCCAGTCATAAATCTTTCCTTCCTTCCTCTACAGATTTTCTGCCAAAAGTTTCCAGTTTGGTCATATGTACTTTTATACGTGGACAACAAGCTGATCAGGCACTTATTTTTTGGTGCTCTTATTATTTTCTAATACTTTGTAATAGAAAAGATTTTTTTAATATACCATTAATTTTTTAAAGTTCCTTGCTGTCTCCAAAGATTTCTTAGTAAGAGGATGGTCTTTATGTCTAAAGTTGCTATCTTTGGCGCTCCCGTTTCCCATAATATAATTAATGCTCATCACAGAGGGCAAATAAAAATGACATCAGTATCATAATAAAGTGTGATAACTGAGAAAGCAAAACACCATACTCCTCTTTTTTTGGCCTTGGGATCACTACTGATACTCACAGCACATCCTAAAAGGCAAAATAGGGTCTTCCACATGCAGGCTATTAGTGTTTGGGCAAGTCAGTTTCCTGCTGTAAACCTTTGTTTACTCATCTGGAAAATGGGGGGGGTGAGGATTAAATGGAATGATTGATGGAAGAAAAACTCTCAGCAGACGGCCTGGCACTTTATAAGCCCTCCACAAAGGGTAGAATTTATTGATTTGTTTATTTTTCTATCCAAAAGGATATTAGGCTTAGTGGGAGATTTTTATCAAGGCTTCAAGCTCATGACATTTTGCTTTTGTTACAATAAAACATAAGCTCTTAAAAAGCTTTATTCATTATATCCCCAAACTGGAAATAGTCCAGTCCATCAACAGAAGAATAAAGAAACTCTGGCCTATTCATGCAAAAGAATACTGCTCAGCGATCAAAAGGAATGAACATGGGTGAATCTCAAAACCTTTATGCCGAGTGAAAGAACACAGGCGCAAAAGAGCACATACCATGTGAATGCACATAGTTAAAGTTCTATAACAGGCAAAACGAATCTATGACAGACTTTTAAGAACCAGGATGGCGGTTGTGTCTGGAGGGTGGGGGGACTGGATGACTGAGAGAAGGAATCTGAAGGAACTGTCTGGGGTGATGGTAATGTTCTGTACCTCACCAGAGTTTGAGATGCATTTGTCAGAGCTCATCTAATGGCATGCTTAAGATTTGTGCACTTTATTATATGCAAATTTTACCTCAAAAGGCAAAAAGAGGCAAAGGACTTTGAGTAGACATTTCTCTCCAAAGAAGGCACACAGTGGCCAAAAGGCACATGAGAAGGTGCTCAACATCACTAATCATTAGAGAAATGCACATCAACACTGCAATGAGATACTACCTGCTATGGTTGGCTTGTTTCATCCCTCCAAATCTCATGTTGAAATTTGACCCTCAGTGTGTGGGAGGGCTTAATGAGAGGTGTTTGGGTCAGGGGGGCAGATTCCTCATAAATAGACTAATTCCCTGGGCAAGGGGATGAGTGAGTTCTCTCTCTGTTAGTTCCCATGAGAGCCGTTGTTCACAAGAGCCTGGCACCTCCCCTCATCTCTCTTTCCTCCTCTCTGGCCATGTGATCTCTGTACACACTGGCTCCCTTCGCCTTCTGCCATGAATGGAAGCAGCTTGAAGCTCTCACCAGAAGCAGATGCTGGCACCATATTTCTTCTACAGCCTTCAGAACCATGAACCAATAAACCTCTTCTCTTTGTAAATTACCCAGTCTGTGGAGGCCAAAGCAACTCCATCTTGGATGCTAATCTGCCATGTTGACTTCTCATTCATCTCACTTCTGAAAATACCTCTGAGATGTCTACTTTCACATATTTACCATAAACCCTGTCCTTAGGCAAATTCATTATGGTATATAAGCCCTGAGTCTGGGGGCTAACAGGGTGGGGATCCACCATCTTGTCTTATGGCTGCCCAAGACATGGCTTCTGTTCATAAATGTCTGTTAAATATTTTTTTCTAAGAAACTGGATTTGTTAGCTTCTTCCTTTGGCCTTTCATCTTCCTTGGCCTTTGGGGTTAGGTTTGCATAGACCTGCTCACCATGGAACACAGCCTCAGATATTGCTTTCTAGTAGCCCAAAAATGTACTGAGACACCACCTCACATCCATTAGGGTGGCTACTATGAAACAAATTAAAAACATATGTTGGGAAGATGCATGCATAAAAATTTAAACTTGTGCATTACTGGTGGTAACGGCAAATATGCGTTGACTGTGGAAAACAGTATGGAAGTTCCTAAAAAAATTAGAAATAGAATTATCATATCATCCAGCAATTCCACTCCTGGGTATGTACCCCCAAAATTAAAAGCGGAGACTTCAACAGATACTTGTACACCCATGTTCATAGAAGCATTATTCACAATAGCCAAAAGGTGGAAGCAACCCAGTGTCCGATGACAGATGTAAACGGATAAACAAAGTGTAATATAGACATACAAATGAAATATTATTCAGCCTTAAAAAGGGAGGAAATTCTGACACATGCCATAACATAAATGAACCTGGAGCAAATACAAAGTGGAATAAGCCAGTCACAAAAGGACAAATAGTGTATTATTTCATTTATATGAAGTATGTGGAGTAGTCAAATTCATAGAGGCAAAAAGTAAAATGGTGGTTTCCAGGGGCTAGGAAGAGAGGGGAATGAGGGAATTGTTTAATGAATACAGAGCTTCAGTTTTGCAAGATGAAAAGAGCTGTAGAAATGGATGATGGTGATGTCTGCACAGCATGTGAATATTTTTGATGCCACTGAACAGCACACTTAAAATGGTTAGGATGGTAAGTTTGCTGTTATGTCTGTTTTGGCATAATTAAATGTTTTTAATTTTAAAAAGGAAAAAACAGAGATGCAAACAAATATTGGACTCTAGTTAATGATGTGCATGCTAAAATGAGTAGGGGTAAAGCATATTCGTGTCTGCAATTTTGCAATGCTTCAAAAAAATAAAACGGGTGGATGGATAGACGGTTGAGCTGATGGCTAGATACATGATAAAGCCTACATAATAAGCTGTAAAATTTAGAAATTAGGTGGAGAATATATTTTGTGATCGCTGCAAAATTCTTCTAATTTTTCAGTGGGTCTGAAATTTATCATAATAAAATGTTGGAAGACGAATCAGCACTTAAGCAGGACAAGTATCTTGTGAACCTGTGCAATGCTTTCACTCGCCCACTCAATCATTCAATGAACTTTTATTGCATTCCTGCCATATGCCACTGTGCTGAGCTCTGGCAATGCAAAAATATATAAAACAGCAACTCTGTCCCTTCTAATGAAGCCAAAACAGATGTCTGGAGGAAACATCCCTAGACACGGGGAAAGCAGAAATATAATTTTCCCTAAAAATTTCCTCCAACCCTCTGTGCCCATACCTGAGGCTGCCTAATCAGTGGCCCTGAAGCATTCTGGGCTGAATCCCATACATAGCCTCTCTCCCCTTTCTGTCTCCCCTGGCCTAACCCATCCTTCAAGACTCTATTCTATTTCTACCTTCTCCAAATGGCCTTCTGCGCCTGTTCCTTCCTGCCCAACGAGCTCCTCAAGGTCTCCTGGTGAATCTGTACCAAGTCAGGAGGTCTAGGTTCTAGACTGTGCTGAGTGTGTGACCAGGGGACCCCCGGGCTGTATAGGTAAAATCAAGGAGCTGATTTAAGCTATCCTAAGACATAGAGCAGTAGAGGTGAAAGGGACCTGAGAAGGCTTTTGCTTCATGCCTTTGGTTGAACAGGTGAAGAATCTGAAGCCCAGAGAGGCCAAGAGACTTGTATTAGGTCTTCCCTGGCCTAGCCCATCCTTCAAAGCTCTGTTCTATTTCTGCCATCTCCAAATAGCCTTCTGCGCCTGTTCCTGCCCATGAGCTCTTCAAGGTCTCCTCACAGGTCTTTACTAAGTTGAGAGGGGCCAGGCTAGGGCTTGGGGTGGGAGGCCAAGAACTTGGGTGAATATGAGTACAAGCATCTGGCTCTGTTAGGTATCAGAGGCTGCCCGCAGATGGTAGAGGCTTCAGGAAAGCAGAAACCCAAAGAACTGTAGTCTGCATGAATTTGCCTTGTATGCATTCTAAATAGCAGTACGGAAGCGTAAAGTCTTCATTTATGTACAGTACATAGTAATTCAACCTATTACATTTAAAAGCCTGTCTGGAATCAGGTCGTATTTCTGAGCTACAGACTGAGTAAGCTGAAAGGTAGGTTTATACTGCTGGCACCTGGAGGAGCCAGTCCAGTCACAGAGCATAGTTACTGTCATGCTTTGGAACGGTCACCCTGAGTTTATGGAAATCTGGAATTATTCCCAGTCTTCAGGGATGCGTGGTTCCTGTAACGGAGCACTGAAGAGCGTGGCTGTGGTGAGCGTACGCCCAGAGATCCTGGGGTTGGCAGAAAGAAAGAGGGCATATGAAAGGATACCAGGGTGACAGCACAGGTGGTCTTGTCCCCAAGACAAGGGGACACGGTGGGGCAGTGGTTCTGTCTCTGCACTCACTGCCCATGTCTGGTTCTTCAGGGAGGCTTCGGGCTGGTGTGAGCTGGAGACGTGGAGGCATCCCTGTCGCCGCCCACCCCCACATTTGTTCCGTCTCCAGCTTCTATCCACGCAGCCTCTTGAGTCTCTCCCACTTTGCTATTTTTTCCCCTTCCCACTGTCTCTACCCAGTGCAAGCCCTCATCACTCTCCCAGGACCAACTGCATTGTCACTTACTCCAGTACCTGGACAACTAGTATCCCTGGTCCTACTCTGTCCCCAGCCCATCCTCTACACCACA